ATCTTATTACAATGCTTTTTCATGACGACTCACCACTTCTGGGAAGGGTGCCGGACAGATTTGCAACTTTAGGAGGAGCTGGTTATTTTCTACATACTACAGTACTGCATTGCAACTGCTATCAAAAAGTGAAATATGAAAAAGGAGTTAAGTGTAGTGAATATGATTAAAAGTAAATTTAAAAAAACTAAGTTTGAAATGAGAATTGCTGTTCTGTTTGAATGTTGAATTCTGATGAACCTTGTTACTAAGATAAGCTTTGGAATACATTTGCAGAGTATGTATGAAGAGCGTATATACATTTCTCAGGCCAACACTTATGGGACACTTACATCAAAAGCAAAACACAACCCAGAATCAAACACAGCAAGGTGGCTCAATTTTTAATATAGTACAAAGGCAAAAGTGCTCAATATATTGCCTATTTCATTCTGGATGTGAATTATAGCTCTGAAAGCTTTAGACCAGTGGAAAAGTTATTTTTCTTGTCTGCTTGTGGCTTTAAGGATAAAAAGATTAGGGTTCAAAACAAACGACTGCATCCCCCAGTGCACAATTCATCCAATTCTGGATAGCAGTCTTTGGGCATTCCTGATTGGTTTTAGGTCAACTGCATTTTAGGTGTCTTTCTCAAAAGTCCCTGTAACTGTATAATCTTGCTTAAAGAGAACTAGAATAAGAGATTGATTAAAGTACTCAAAGCTACTGTTTGTATTCATTATTTACAATACTATGGTATGTTCTGGCAACGTAAGTGCAGAGCCAAGCAATAGTCACCCAGAATATTCTGAGTCTTCTTTGGATCAAAGACCAGTAATTTAACTGGCCAATATATTTAGTAACAGAGCTGGACTTCAGCTCTTTCCAATGCTTGCAACTTACAATTTCTTCCTGTTATATTACATAACTAACAACAGTATGTATTTTATCCACTAGATACAATGGGCCAAATCTCTCTCTCAAGTACACAAGCACAATCCCACTGATTTCAATAGGTAGAAAAAGGAAGAAAATTTGGCCCAATATGAACTTTAATATTACTATCAATTGTGTTATATACGAAGGCTCTCGATTTTAAGTAGACAATTATAATATAACTAGTATATTTAAGAAAAATGGTGTATCCTAACCTATGATTTCTGTTCATACTGTTGTGTATAATTTAGAATGGCATGTTTACTACAAATGGGATTTAAACACCTTCCTTGCCCCATTAGCTCGAGCCCAACATCCTGGGATTCAAGCCCTCTCAGTAAAGTCAATGGCTAGCTACCTTAGTCTCCTAGAAAATAAAACAACACCAGAAGTTTATTACATATAATTTTTGCACACCCATTTCAGATGGAACAAGTGTTCCTACAAAAATGTGAACATGTAAGCTGTCACAGAGAAAAGAGGTGTTAGAAGCACAAATCCTTGATTTGTGAGTCATAACAAAACCTTTAGACCAAAGACTTATTTTTGTTTCACCTGCCCTAACAGAAATGCCTTTAGAAAAGCCTAAAAAATGCTCTCATGCAAGACAATTTATTGACTTTCCATACAATTTTCTTTCCTCACTTAAAAATTATCAAAAACTGTATAAAACTGTTTATGTATGAACAAGGGCTTGACTCCAATCCAGTCTATTTTAACTTCCTACTTGATCCTGTCATGTTTTCATATTGACAAATTTGTAACATCACAACTATTACTAAGGTGAAATGTTGTTTGTACCACTGTTCTTATTTCAAGTTCTTTCCAACGTGAAATCTCCTTCAAGATAAATTTCTTATCAGTGACATACAAAGCAAAAAAAGAAGCTTTTGTCCTTTTTACTTCTTTATGATGTAGATTAGAATATAAGCTTGAAACTATTTTTTTAGAAACCAAACGAGTTTCGAATGTTAAAAAATAAGTTAAGTCTTGTCAGCCCTGAAAGACTACAGTAATTGAAGAAATGGCAAGACAATGACATCAAAAGAATGAAAGCTGAGCAATTGAGGCTAAAAGGATTGAGTCAGGCTTTTTTCTTTAATTCGGTCCTTTTTACAACTTAAAGCAAAATAAGGCACAAAGAGGTCACCCTAACTTCTACATTTGTGTTTTTCCATTTGACAACTGCTAATTGCCCATGTTTCTAATGAAACCAAAATAATAATGGTTCTTTGACTACCTTCAGTGATGACACAACATCTTTCTCTAGAATTCCTCAAACCCCGTCTTCTCATCTCTCTCTCTCTCCTCCCCTCCCGCAACTGAAGGTCAGTCCATCGGCACCACTCCCAACCTGGCTAGAATTGTTCCCAAAGAGCAATATCAAGCATTTCCTCCCCTAATGGGGATGAACAAACTTGGTCACTTCCCCAGTGAGCAAAAGCATTAAGTCAATAGAGTATCATCATCTTATACCAGAGATGAGCCTGACTTTGTTGTACTCTCTGGCCCTGCTAATCTAGAAGCAAACTAGAAATGTGCTACAGCAGCATGGTAGTGCATTGTGCAAGATCCTCAGGCTGGTTTTGAAATAGTTTGATTAGCTTGCTGCTGCAGAATCAGCAGGAAGAACTTGTTATTGACATTTGGCCTCTCAGATAATGGATTTTTTATGTACAGTCTGATAATGAAGTGTTGGGAGTCTTCTATTTTTTATAAACAGATATTCATAAGCTGGAGGATAGTGTAATATTTTAAGAATCAAATTTTGGGCCTAAACTACATCAGAGCATCCCCTTAATTGTGTTGAACTTCAATGGCATTAGTATTAACCAGAATACTTGAAGAACGGTTTGTGTAAGAACAGGAAGGATACCATCATTCTTGATCAAACAATATATACAGACATAACTGGACAGGTCAAAGCGTGAGAGGTGTATTGATATCAGTTAGTCTTAATTAAATCCTTTTAGGATTCTAATTTGCAAACAGCCCTCTGCAACTTTACTTGCTGAAAACTTTTAAGTGAATACAAATCTTTTAAGACAACCATCATAGTAGGGGGGATGCGTATGTTCTAAAATCTGTACTTGATTGAAAATTTTTCAGGCAATCATCCTAAATAATACTTTAAAACTTCAATATGGGGCAGAAGAGAAAGGAAGGTTTGGAGCAAGAACGCCCATATTACATCTCTCTCTACTGAGGACATGTAACAGGCTCTCATATAGTCCTTTAATCAGATATACAGCACAGGGCACCAGAAAAATCCAGCTTGCACTCCTGAATGAAGAGATCGCATTTTCCACCGCTTTTAGAAAGGTTTTTTGTTCCGCAAGCAAAAGTAAAGGTTCTCTCAAGAATCCATGTGCTCTATTATGTCAGGTGGTGAAAATCTGGCAATACTGCTGATTTACATAAAGTCAGTAAAAAAGGAGTGTATTGTACATACACTATATGGACAGTGACGGTACAATCCCTATTCTCTCTATACAACTATTTTGCTATATATAAATATGATGGGTTTCACTCTGACAATTTTATAGTGTATTTAAAAATGAAACTATATCTAGAATGTACACACAATTCCAATCTCTAAGTAAATGAAACAACAGAAGGAAATACAGTACAAGTATCATTATATACTGGCCTGAAATTCTTAAGTCATTTGTTCCCTTGGCCTAAGAGACCTCTATGCAGAAGAACAGAGATGATAGGGAAAGAGTAGTGAAATGAATGCAAGACCTACACACTGGACTGAACTCTGCACGGATGTAATCGCTCCCCCCTTATACAATACAACTGAATAGTTAATGTGATTGCATGGAATATACATCAGTACAGAATTTGATCTTTTGTACAGCAGATAGCACAATGGTCCCCAACCTGATTGGTGCCTCTAGAGAGAGCTGTAATACCAACAATATGCCATAGAAATCTGTTTGTCAACTCCTGAAAGGAACAGAAACTCCTGCAGTGATGTTTCTGATGGAAAAATCATGAAAGCAAGACTATATTGAAATACTAGGCTTCAACAGTAGTGAGGGTTCAAAGGGATAATATAACAGTAAAAATCAGAATAGAGTCCAAGAGAAGCAGCGAATATTCTCTTTTGTAAAATGGTGCAAGTCCAAGTGTGATATATAAGGTTTTTTAAACCTCTGCATTGGCAAATGTCAAATGAGTTCAGGCACCTAGGCCAAGAGTTCCAGTGTTTTGTTAAAGTCATCTTCCTTGCAGACTGTCTGCATGCCGACATCCCATTCATATCTCGTGACATGACAGCTATGTTAATACAGCCCTTAATGATATTTCATCCTGTTACATCTACTATATCACACTGGTCCAATATATGAACATTAGCAGATGAACTCGGAAAATTAAGTGGCATCTTCGGAAAGAAAGGAATAGTTTATATAGGCTATTACTACTAAACAAGGTTGCAGAAAGAGGTAGAAAGCTCCTGAACTGTATCTAATGGAAAGGATTCATAAGTGTCCTCTCACAGACACTACTTCTGAACTGAGAAGCCAAGACATTTAACACGTGCAGAGTGTGGTGTGATCAAAACTTAGTGTTTTTTGTTCACCTAGTTATGTTCCACACAGATAAGGAGTAACTGACTTGCCTTAGAATAAATTAGAGTCAAATGAGTGTTTTCAAAGTTACTTCTCTGAAAAACAGCACATTCTGCATGACAATGTGTGTACTCTGAAGCAAATGTTGTCACAGTTACTAAGCACTGATGAAAGATTAGGAATATATTTGCCTTCCTAACAGCTGCTTCTGCCAACACCAGGATTAGGAAAGCATCTTTATACCAAACTCCAAAATCTAAAGAGTTTAAACAGGTGGTAAACATGGGTAATGTAAATCTGAAAAGCTGTCTGGACACTGGGATATATGAGAAACAGTGGCCAACTGAAGTATCCGTTTTCCTTGTGGTATTATCTGTCTGGAGGATTTAAGGTAGGGATGTCATAGGAAAAATGGAGACGAGCTGATATTTCTGTATTGTGAACACTTAATTACAAAAAGGTTTCCCCCTCTTGAAATATCCCAATCAGTACTATTTGCACACATACCTCGAAGAATTCTCTCCTCATGGCAACGTAGAAAGTCCCAGATTCTAACAGTGCCGTCGTCAGAGCATGTAGCAAATTTATTATCCGTGGGTGAGAAACTGTTACATGAAGACACACAGCAGGGGAAAGAAGTCAGCATTTAACAGATTATCTATGCTTCGCAGACAGGGCAAAATTAAATTGTAAGGTGTTATACATTGAAAGAGGCATTTGAACATAAGGGCCACTAATTAAACATGGTGTCTGCCATTTGACACATTTCCATCAGAAGACTTTGAATTTAGTTTAGGATTTACTTCTGCATTTTGATCCCCAGTCAAGTGGAAAAATCCAGAATTTATATTTAGCACTATCCTACCTATGACTGTACACAGCAGCACCTTCTCTGCGAGACCAGCAGCAACACGAAACTGACTTAATAGCAACTGCAGCCCTAGACTTTCACGCTGTTGATAGTGGTAAAGCGACACTGTGCAGAAGCATGGGGGAGAGCATTAAGAGAGTAAATTTCCTCTTCAGCCACAGGTGCCTTGCAGCAAGACAAGCAAAAATAAGGGAAGGTGGGAAATAGGAAGAGGCTACTGCTACTAGCAGTTGGACTGGTTGCTGAAAAATTCTTATATAAAACATGTTCCACACCTATGAAAAGGAACAGAGGGAAGATTTTCCCCTCTGGGAAATGAAGTTAGAATTCTACAACCATGGAAGATGCTTCCAAATTTATCAATATTGCTTGATGAAAGCCACTGGGAAAAGTGTGAGGTTATTTAGCCACGTGATTAAGGTCAGACCATCTCCAGCAACTGACAAGCAGCCACTTCCATTCTGGTGCAGCGAATGACCAAGGAAGAGTCTCTGTTCAGTTAATTCAACAGCAATCCCCTTGAAATCCTGGATCTTTATGATCGGGAAGGGGCTTACTGTTGGAGAAATTCAGTGTATGGACATGATACACTAAACCAATAACTGCATCCAATGTACGAATGTCTTGTAAATCAAACTGTCAAGAAATCCTGAATCTTATCAGAGGGGAAAGTGGTGACCTCAATAGAAAGTGTTTCTGTGGCAGTGAACCTCTTACCACCAAGGGGCAGCACCCCAATCTGAAAAAACACTGCTTTAGATTTATTTTGGGTCTGCAGCTCCTCTTCAGGTTTACTTTAAAAAACATTTCTTCTCTTTACATATCTTACTAAAAGATTCATCCATATTTACTTTAGAAACATCTTTCATATACATCTTACTGAAAATATCACTTAACTCCATTTTTATATAAAATATACATTTGCACAACTGAGGTATCAACACTGAATCAGGAAAATGCCTACAATCTTCTTTTCAATGGTCTGCTTACAGCTTCAAAGCTTAAGAACCCATTCAATGTTAACATTAGACTTCTGGATGTGGCAATCTGTGTGGGTCTTCAGTATTAGTGGAAACCTTGGCCTCACCAAGCCAAGCAGTTCTTCACTTTATTTAGCTTTTTTTTATTATTATTATTATTTTGTGAGAACTATGCAGGTGTTTTGTTTCTGAAGGTTTTATATTTTATTCAGTTAGATTATTAAAGACTGAATTCTTTATTTGGAATGAAATCGTTGTCTTACACAGTCCGTATAAAAAGGAATAACTGATACACATCGTCACCATATATAAATAAAAAGAATACCAGTGCAAAATGCGGCAGACAAATACATCTCTAACATATTGCAGAGGCAGATACTGGGACAATACTATTTCAGAAAGTTGCCAGCAAAACGGTGAGAATGTGGAAACAAAAGAAAATATTGTGTTTACTTGGTGCATGAAGTTTCCCAGAATCTGACAGAACCCATGCATCTCTGCACCCAGAATACACTTAGAGAACAGTCTAATTATGGAAATAGGTACTACAGAAAATGGTATATTGTGTATAAACCTGGCCTCTCTAATCGCCTCCTTATGTGCCTGGAACATCTTGACGTTGTTCATGTTGGACTGCCAGTATTTCACATATCCCCCGTGGTCTGCTGTCAGCATCCACATATCATTGTGTGACCAAGTCATGGCCCTTACAGGGCTGTCGTGAGCCTGAGGAGTCAAAAATAAAACTTCTAACAAATACGTTCAAATGTTACCCAACCCACATGAACACAAAAGTCATTCAGAACGTGTACATTTAACATTTACGACAAGGGAATAAAAGAAATGGAGAATATTTAGATCTGCAAGCTCCTCAGGGAGAGACTATTTTATGTATCTTGCACAGTGCAGTGCACAATTTACTTGTGAAGAGCTAAATACTTGCACGGTGTCTCCAATACTTAAAACATAATAAATCCTCACCATATTCCCTTGAAAACAAGTCAGAAATATTATCTCTATAGTTCAGACAGGGAGATGCAGCTCGAAACATTAAACAAATTGCCCAAGATCACAAGAGGGGTCAGGGACTGCGCAGGATAAGTACTCAGGTATTCCTAGCTCTCAGGACTGAACTTAGTCCGCTAGCCCATGATTAGTATGTGGAGATGCAGGACTGCAATATTCTTTACAATCTCAGAGAAAGATGCAGACAGCTTGCTGGATGCAGTTACCTGTAATATTGTTTCAAAATTGAAAGTCAATCCATTCCACAAGGTGAACTCTCCACTAGAAGCCCCAGTGACCAAGCGCCTCCCTTCAGGAGTCCACTGCAAGAGAAAAATTGAATTAGATTGTGTAGACAGTGCCCAGACACCTTTCCTGTATCCTTCAGCATTGTTAAAATACAAGTGCCTGCATGAGATTCTAAAGCATTTGGATTTATAAAGTAACTCTGTACTGGAAGGTAAGAAGAAGAAAAAAAAATCAGATGGTTGTCCTAGGATACAACAGGGCTTTTCATCTCTAGGTCACTAGTTCAAATCCAGCCCAAAACACTAGTGACCCAGAGTTATCAAAAGGTGGCTGTCAAGTCACCTATGTGAAATGAGTTTGATGGCTTTAATCCAGTTCTAGTGAACAGGTGTCCTCATCAAACACGCCACTACTACTAGAATCCTGGCACCCTTGCAGGCAAGCTAGTAGATTGCAAGGATTGAACAGGCATCGTGACTGAACTACCCTCTTCCTTCGAGTTGGTTCCCTCAAGATAATGTTGAGACACATTGGTACAAAAAAAGTGTTGAGAAAATTAGACTGAAGGTGAAATACATACAAACCAAACAGTGAATAAATTGATTAATTGTCCCAGGGTTCCTAGGATCCTCTGTGAAAAAGGTGAGGCGTGTCAGTCCAGGTTTTGAAAAAGCCTTGGGGTGCCCAAGACCTGGAATCCTGCATAATGGTTTTACTTAGAAACATTTCTACTTTTATTATCTTGCCATTCTAATTTTATTACAGACAAATATTTCACAGCTAACTAATCACGCCTGGGAACAAATCTTCTAGCCCAGGCCAACATAATACTCACCCTGACAACAAACACTGGGCATTTTACTTTATTGGTAGATGTCCTAACAAATTTTGTTGTTACAGCATTCATAGGGTTATTCAGCATTCCTATAGGAGGGACCAGCTGTAAGTGAGGAAAGAAAAGAATTTTAGCAACAATGTTTCAACCTGCATCTTGGGAAAGAAGCAAGAAAAGCAGAGGCCCAGAAGGCTCATTACTAGAAAAACAAGCATTTGATTATAGAAATGAATCAATTAAATATGTTCAGAGTTTGAAATCAGCAGATAGTACTTTCACCATCTCAGGAACACACACACACACACAATCATCTCCTCAAATGCAACTAACCTTTCAACACCTGAACTTTAGCAATTTCACTTCACTAGAACAGGACTGAAAGAGTCCATTAACATTCAGTCTCTCTCCTTGAGACAAAAAGGTTCCTTTAGTGCAAGGGAACATAGCATGAAGATTCCCTCCAAGTCTTAGTCACCTCTCAAGGCAAATAGAGAACTTTGGTATACAGAGGCAGCGTCCTACTTTTCAGGTAGAAGAGTTTTAGTGTCTACAATAAGAGCTTCAGAAGCATATATAAAGATTTGTACTTACATCATTATAATATCCTGCATCAGGCTGAATTGCCCGCATGTCTCGCTGGTCTCTCTGCCATACTCTATTCTGGAAAGAAAAAAATAGCTCCTGGTTATTATTATTGCTGTATTCCAGTGTTATTGAACAAAAAAGTAGGAAGAATTATACAGACTGCATATTTGGAAGCTTCAGTATGCACTGCATAAGTTTCAGAACAAATCCAGTACAAAATTTTGTGCTTCAGGAAACTAGAAGACTTTACATTACGTAAGGTGAAGGAGAATAGAGGTAGATAAGGAACATGTAAAGTCAGAAGAATGATTAATTTATAACATAACAGAAAGTGTGATTGGGGATTTCCATGTATTTATTCACTGAAAGTAAATGTTCTATGTAAAAATACTAGGAAGGCAATGATCCTGTGTTTAATGTTCTGCATTACTACAAGAGACACATAAGCCTGGCCTCTTGGTTTCTAGACCAGAAAGAACTGTATACTCCTGCTCAACCTCTTTAAGAGCTTTGGCTCTTCAGTGACCCCTTGTAGCAGGGTGCTGGTACAAAAGCACATAATTAGCCCTGCCAGGTCAGCTCCAATCAAGGAAAGCAGATTGGGGCTGATGGAAAAGGCCTGATGCCAGCCTGAGGATTGGCAACATCTGCTGGCCTGACAAGCCAAGGGCTATAAAGGCTGGGAGGGAGCCAGAAGGCAGGGGACAGCCAGGGAGAAGTCAGTCAGGGAGGGAACTGGAGGCCTCCTAGCTGAAGGCTGACTCTGCTTGTAAAGGAGGTGACTAATCCTGTAAAGCTTCTATATAGATGGACACTGGTGGTGGGACAACTTTAAGTAAATAAAGACACGGATGTTGCACAACCCTGAAGCCGCTCTGAGCCTTACTGGGGGCAGCAAGCGGGCCCCAGGAAGAGGGGCAGGTCCTGAACCCTGTTATATTAGGTAGAGGGGTGTAAGAGCTGTATTGATGACCTCTAAACTAAAGCAAGTTCCATCCAGTAGTAGTTGCGTAGAAAGGACATTTTTATGGTCAGGGCACCAAGAGCAGACAGTGGGGTGGGGTTTGAAAGGCCAGAAGACAAAAAAATTCACTTCCAATATATATGATATTCTATATTGTCAATCATAACAGTATTCAATTAGACATGGCATGATTCAGAGTTTGGCAAATTTAAGACTAGCACCCTACGTTAACTTGATATTGTGGGTTCAATCAAGTTTTGATTGTGAATCAAAGTTTAAGCTAGAATTTTAGATAAATATTTTTGGCATGTAATTTCCTGACTGGGGTGACTATGATGTGATAAAAACATGAAAGCCCATGCCACACCAGTTAAAATTTCAGATCAGTTAAATATGGAGATAGTTTGAACCTGGAGCCTTAACTTTTGATGGTATGGGATTCAAAACCTGGCTCTAAATGTTGCTAGGTGGGCACAGGAACCTCTTTTTCAAATATATATACACACACTTGTTGTACATTTTAAAACATATACCCACATAGATATATAAGCAAGGAGTGTGAAAAGCACACAACCCCTACTGATACAGCTATGCTGACAAAACTCCTGGCATAGACGCAGCTATGCTGAGGCTATTTGCGCTGAGGCTCCAGCGCTCTATTGCCAGTGTAGACACTTGATTGCTTTCTGCACTGTAATTGGCCTCTTGAGCTGTCTCATAATGCCTCAAGTGACCGCTCTACTCATTGTTTTGAACTCAGCTGCCCCAGAGACATGCACCCCTCCCCATTCAAAGCACAGTTTCTGACAGCCCTTGTGTGCTGTGCTGGCTGATCTGCTCTGGGCCACAAAGCAAACCATTAATGTGGAATGCTCATGCTATTAAGCACAGAGACAGTATCTATCTATCTGTGCAGAGAGCCCAGGGAGGAAGGCGAGAGCTGATGTCGGGGTTTCCCCCCTCCCCCTGGACTGGTTGCTTCCTGCAGCTGTCTGAACTTACAAGACAGCGTATTGACACTCTATCCAAAAAAAACCACTGTCTCTCTACTTCCCACACACCACACACACTCTTCCCCCTTCCCCTTCAGTTGAAAAGCAGCTGGCAATGTAGTAGGATACCCATGGAACAATGGGATTGGGAAACCTGAATCAGTGTTATATGTCTGCCCCATGAGGCATTGCAAACCCTTCCCAAAGTACCCTGCAGCCAGTTGCACAGAGGGATAGCTACTACAATGCACTGCTGTCTTTGCTGTTGCAAGAGCTGCTAATGTGGATGCGCTCCAGCGTCACAAGGAGCACAGTGTGGACACGCAACAGCGGTTTATTTCCAGCATTCTAATAAAAGTGGTATAACTTGTGGCGCACAAACTTGCCTGCATAGACATACCCCAAGTAATTTGGAAAGCCAAGTGGGTATTTTTTCTTGGAAAGATATCTTCTGTAGTATTTGGTTCAAAGTAGTCTCAGCCATTAGGACTGCCCAAGGTGGTTCACAGACTTATGGTACGAGTAGCCTATATTCGTTTTTTTTTTATTCAAGGAGGCAGTTGAATAGAAAATGACAAGTACTGTATTTTCTGGCGTATAAGACTACTTTTTAACCCAGGAAAATCTTCTCAAAAGTCGGGGGTCGTCTTATACGCCGGGTGTCGTCTTATAGGGCGGGTGCTGAAACTTCCGTGCCGGACTGGAGAATCTGTGGTCGCCGCATATGGTGGGGGGAGCTCAAAAATGGCCGCGGCCACATCCCCGCCCGATGACGAGGTGAGGGGGCGCCTCACCGGGAAGGTGTAAGTGAAGGGCGGAGCAAGCTGCAGGCGTCCGGGACGCCCGGGGTATGGAAAAAAGAGATAGAGCGGCGCTGT